CACAGACACAGACACAAACAGACACAGACACAGACAGACACAGACACAGACAGACACAGACACAGACAGACACAGACACAGACAGACACAGACACAGACACAGACACAGACACAGACAGACAGACAAAGAAACAGATACCAGAGACAGAGAGACCAACAGACAAAGAGAGACAGAGAAAGACACCGACAGAGAGACAGAGACAAAAAGAGACACACCTCCGGCGCGCAGCGCGCCGGATTCGGATGTCGACATGCCAAAGGCTTCGCCTGCGCACGTGCACGCGTCCGACTCCGAGCCCGAGAGCCGTGATGCAGACGGGCTGCAAGAACGCGCGTGCGAGCTCTCGGCTGCGCGTGCCCCAGTTGCACGCGGCCGCTGGCCGCTTGTCCCCTGGCGCCCTCGCCTAGTGGAGCGAGCCAGTGGGAAACGGTTTGTCACGCGCTTGTCTCGGCGCTGCCCCGCCGCGCTCCTTCGACGGCTGTATTCTGGCTCGCGGCCAGGAGGTGGTTGCAGGTGTTCGGCGGCCCTCTTTGGACTGGGCACCCCGGGTTGCTACCGGCCCGGTTTGGATTGGTAGCTTGGATCGGTGTTTTGGAGGTTAGGGGGTGGTTTCCCATTCAACTTCAGCATGATCCAGGGGTTCAATCCCCAAACCACCAATGTAAACCAGCAAGTAGGGGTAAGTTGAGGCGGGTGCCAAAAAAGGGCCGAGCTCTTAGGGGCCATATTAATATTAGTCATATGTTTTTTAAGTATATTATATTTAAAATCGAAAATAGTAAAATTATACATTATTTAAAATAATAATAATATTTATATAAAAAGCATAATTAATGTTTAATAAATATATTTAAATATAATTGTCCATTTCTTCCGACTTATCCCCCGGCCTCCCCCCCCGGCCTCCGCCCCCGCAGCCTCCCTCGCAGTCTCCCGACCTCCCCAACCTCCCCTTCGACCTCCCCTTCGACCTCCCGCCCAATCTCCCCCCCCACCGGCCTCTACCCCGACCTCCGACCTTTTCCGGCCAGCCTATCTATCTATATATTTTGTTTCTATATCTCTATATATCTTAATTATATATTGTTCTACTTTAAATTACGAATAAGCAAATCATGCCTTTCGTGATATTCAAAAACAAATAACTAAAATACAACCAACTCTCGTATATACAAATCAAAAAATCATTTTTGTCCCAATGATTACGATTTGAGCCTTTTGAGCCTTTGCCTTGGACCTTGCCCAAGCAAAACACTTCGAAAGACTGCATATTGCACTGAACTGGAGACCCAAATATCTAAAGACGAGTTATAGATGGAACTTCTCAGCAGCACCCCAATATACTTCCTAAAGCACTGCGATGCACAAAGCAACAATGTATCTCAGGTGCCCGATACCAGCATGTAGACATTTAGTCAATGAAAGGCAATCGCCTAAACAAGGGAAGAATAGACCCGTGGACTATTGACCGCAAAAGATCCATCCTCATATACAATTGTTATAACGCACACCAAAACACCATCGACCAACAAACACCCTGGGTACAAACAAAGCCGAGCTAATTTCGGTTAAAACATTAGGACATATCGTTAATCATAACATTCGGTTCTCACATCGCCAAACTCTTGCAAAACGGGCGCAATATTTCAACCAAAATAGCAATGGAATGTCTAAATAAACTAACAAGCCATGCCAATACGGTTTTCGATCAACCTAAGGAATCCTATGCTCGAATCTCTTAAGCTAGACCGAAATCGGCCAACTTCACCGTTTGTCATTAACCTAAATCTTATCACTTACATACCCTTTTATAACACCCTTTTTTAAGGGTAAACCAAAAAACCGCGAAAAAGAACATTTCGATTCCAATTTTAGAACAAACCGCTCCACTCCCCTAAGAAAGTATTTCTTATTCATCCATAAATCTTTCAACCAAAGCAAGCCCGTATAACATATCCGAAAACCGGACCGAAGCAACGACCAAACGATTTTCGGGCTGCATGTCCCAATAATGCGTATCAACAATCTCTATCACTAAGTTGTTCAAATCCAACATACACAATTAACCTATATAATATCCACTAAATTTCATAAACTCATAAAATCTCATAAAGCAAACAAACAAAAAGACAGAGACAAAGACACAAACAAAGACAAAAACAAAAACAAAGACAAAGACAGAGACAAAGACACAAACAAAGACAAACACAAAGACAAAGACAAAGACAAACACACAGACACACAGACACACAAACACAGACACACAAACACAGACACACAGACACACAGACACACAGACACAGACACACAGACACAGACAGACAGACACAGACAGACAAACACAGACAGACAGACACAGACAGACAGACACAGACAGACAGACACAGACAGACAGACACAGACAGACAGACACAGACAGACACAGACACAGAAAGACACAGACACAGACAGACACAGACACAGACAGACACAGACAGACACAGACAGACACAGAGACAGACAGACACAGACAGACAGACAGACACAGACAGACAGACAGACAGACAGACAGACAGACAGACAAAGAAACAGATACCAGAGACAGAGAGACCAACAGACAAAGAGAGACAGAGAGACAGAGAAAGAGACCGACAGAGAGACAGAGACAAAAAGAGACACACCTCTGGCGCGCAGAGCGCCGGATTCGGATGTCGACATGCCAAAGGCTTCGCCTGCGCACGTGCACGCGTCCGACTCCGAGCCCGAGAGCCGTGATGCAGACGGGCTGCAAGAACGCGCGTGCGAGCTCTCGGCTGCGCGTGCCCCAGTTGCACGCGGCCGCTGGCCGCTTGTCCCCTGGCGCCCTCGCCTAGTAGAGCGAGCCAGTGGGAAACGGTTTGTCACGCGCTTGTCCCGGCGCTGCCCCGCCGCGCTCCTTGCCCTCCACGACGGCTGTATTCTGGCCCGCGGCCAGGAGGTGGTTGCAGGTGTTCGGCGGCCCTCTTTGGACTGGGCACCCCGGGTTGCTACCGGCCCGGTTTGGATTGGTAGTTTGGATCGGTGTTTTGGATGTTAGGGGGTGGTTTCCCATTCAACTTCAACATGATCCAGGCGTTCAATCCCCAAACCACCAATCCAAACCAGCAAGTAGGGGTAAGTTGAGGCGGGTACCAAAAAAGGGCCGAGCTCTTAGGGGCCAAGGTCCAGGCCGTGGTGGGTGTGTTAAGAACAGAGCAAATTTTATAGAGCCCGCGCCGGCAAGACATGTTTTGCAACTCAGGCACCAACATATTTTATCATCTAATATGTATCAAAAAATGTAAACTCGTCGCATGCGAAAAGCATGCTGCCGGTCTCTAAGCACAGGTCGCGAGACGCACTGAGGGCCGGGCTGGTCGCGATAAGGTCACGCCAAAGAGTTAGTGAAAGGCGGTCGCCTGAGCAAGGTGAGAACGGATCCGCGGGCTGTTGGCCTCAAAAAATCCATCCACACACGCAGTTGTTGCAAGCGCAAGCGAAAATACGACCGACCAGAAAACATCCTGGGTGCAAGCAACGCCGAACTGATTTCGCCCAAAGCATTGGGAAAAACACAACTGGTCGCAACGATCGGCCGCGGCTCACAGCTTCTCGCATCGCCAAACTCTCGGAAGTTGGGCCAAGATTTCAGCCAAAATTGCTACGAATGGGGAGATATATGCCTAGACTCTTGATCTAGAAGACACAACGACTTCGTTCAAAGCCCGGACCATTTTTCCGAAATATCCCGGATATTTCGATAGTCGCACTCCAGACCATTTTTCCAAAATATTCCGGATCTTTCGACGATAGCATGTCCCGAAATATTTGGACTATTTCGGGAAAATGGTCCCCGAAATATTCGGAATATTTCGAGAAAATGGTGGGTGGCTGCGATTCCCGGACCGCTTTCCCGAAATATCTGGAATATGTTGGGAAATTGGTCCCTACAAAAAATGAAGCCACTATGTCTTCCGCACATATGCCGGGGTAGCCCGGACAGATTTGGGCAAGCGGTCCGTAGGAAATATGAAGCGGCTACATCTTCCAAGGGCAGTCCAGACCAAGTTTCCGAAATATCCGGATTTTTTCGGAAAACGGTCCGGGAAAACGCGCACAAGTGCGACGAGCAAGTTTCACGGTTTCGTTTTATAGAGTAAATATAAATAGGGAAAAAAACTCAGACCATTTTTTTTTAAAAAATATATTTATCAATATATATATAACATAAAATATACAATTTCAAATATTAATTATAAGGTTTTAGTTAATTAAATATCAATACCCATATATTTATTTCGATCCTTATTTATATAGTAAAAACCAATATATTCTATATTTTTAGATTATAATAATTCAATTTTAAACCCGGATTTTAATTAAATTGTACACAATCAATATTTAATATATAAAAAACAGTAAACAAGTAATATTTAACCATATATATAAATAAATTTAATGCTATATTCCTAAAATCATACAATATTTTTTTCATTCCTAATATATAATAATAATCTTTATACATATTTCATTTAATGTATTTTTAATAACATTATCATTCCTTAAACTATATTTTTTGTATTTTTTAAATCGATATTTTGGTTTTATATTAAATTTAAATTTTATTCAAAATAAACTAATATAATTTCCATATCTAACATATTATTAATTTATGCTTAACAAAATTCTATCTCCAAATTCTATTACATTATGCTCGAATATCTCAATTTAACAATTTAAATTAAATCACCAATTATATCCTAAAATTCCGAATTAACAATTATTTCTCTATTTATAAATAAACTACAATGATAATATATTATAACTACTTTTGTATATCTTAATTTATATACATATTATAAACTACATGTAATATATATGTCCAATATTGTTAAATTTGTATTAACTTATCGAATATTTAGATGTTTCGGTTGGTTAATCTTTCCTTCAAATCGATTACTTTAAAATGTCCTTCTTGAAATGGTGCGCCCATTTCCAAATATCATAAACGGCTATTTCTATGGGATTGCTCATTAACTGCTTGGCTCGCAGGTCCTCAGATTGGTTTGAACTGCCAAGTGTGGATATAGAAACGAAACTCTTGGCCTCATGAGTTGGTGCGTTGCACCTGAGTAATCTCACGGAGACGGGGAGCGTTTCAAATGTATATCGTCTCCTGCAGAACCTGCCAAGCTGGAAGGTGCAAAACTGTAGAACATGGTGCAACCAACCCTAGTTGCCACTTCAAGTCTGTTCAGTCAGCCCAATTGTCATTTGCAAGAGTCCGAACCATCCCGAAGCTTGGGGAAAGCCTTGGAACCACGCCCATCAAAGCCATGCCCCAAGGGAGAGGCAGAAAAACGAACGTGGAAGCCAGCCCCGAGAGATGGCTCTGGGCCCTCCAAATTCCTTTCGAGCCAACCCTTGCGAGACAAGCATCCGTGTCCGAAGAGATGTGGGAAGATCTCGCGAAGCTTGGCCTGCACAGGGAAACCGAGGTGTCCGGGGGGGATGCGGGTTCGTCATACACACACAGACCTGTATGAAAACATAAATACATATATGTCTAAATATATTCACAGCCTATATAAACGAAACCTTGCAGTCTTCACAAACCCTGGTTGATGATAGGTATCTCACTTAGCTGCGCAGGAGAGTAAGCTCGCTGTAGCCCTGTCCGCAGCCTTCAGGAAGGAAACCAAAGGCGCCAAATGGAAGGACTTGTTTTCAAGTGGGATCTTTTTTGCAAGGGACCGGGTGCGCTTGTCAGGCCTGCAACTAGAAGGCTGGCACTCCAGCGACTTGACCACCATGAGGCCAAGCAAGTTTGAACATATCTCACTTCCTGAGTGGATTGGCCAGCTAAAGTCTACAACGGTCTTCCCAAATACAACAAGCATAAAGTTCAGGACCCAGGAAGTGAGATATGGAACGTCTTCAAAGAGTTTTTTCCCACTGGTTGTGTTTTTGTATGTTTTTGTCGATCCGAGGGGTTAATGTATTTCACTTCGGCCCCCGAACAATATGAGACAATATGTCCAGCAGTGAAATCGATACCAACTTTAAACCCAAAAGGGAAAATAACAACAGAACAACTGGAGCAAACGGAAGGACAGGAGGGTCTGCCCAGTCTGAAACATGGTCAAGCTTACTGTAACCACTTACTAAGTCCAATGCTCTTAGTTGATGTTGCCCAACCAGGAGCCTCGCTGAATCCATCGGCCACAGAGCGCCCAGGCACGCGATGAATAAAGAACTGGTACGCCATGTCCCTACCTGCAGCCAAGAGTGACACATGGTTTTGGGGTACTTAAGAACCACATTTAATCATGGTAGGAGTAAACTCGGAGTACTGAATTCGCCTCTTTGTTGACCACCCCGTAACCACCCCCCACAGAATCCAACTTCCCACTCCCCAAAGCGTTCGCACCCGGAGATGCTAAAAGGCAAGCCGAGAGGCCTTAGGCGATTCTCTTCTAGAGGAAAAAGAATCTGGCGAGTTCCCAATGTGATTGGAAAGCAAGGTGCCCATTTCAAGGAAACCACGTAATAACCAGGCCAATCCCAGCTTCAAACATCCAAGGAGTTGCGCTAACTCCAGCATGCATTAACAAGTGCTTGGTCGTTGCCTACGCCAATCCCAACCAAGGGCTATCTGATGCGCCAAGAGACTGAAGGGCTAAGAGCCCATCCGCGAGAAAGCATTAAGGGCTATCTGAACCACAGCAGCCATTGGACTGCGCCAAGTGGCTGGCCTCCGGATCGTCGGGCCACCAGTCTTTGGCAAGCCCCGCTTCTCCTGAGGCGTTATACTGAGAGCGCAGCAGCGAGTTCCCCAGGACCTGGCAACGGCCAACCGCCTGATATGTCCGGCTTAAACCGCATCCATGACTCACATCAGGGGTCGGCTTAGACATCAACCCCAGCTTCACACACTAGGTCCACAGAAAAAACGATCTTCATATTTTTGGTCCAGCCTACATTATCAACTAGTTTTGGAGAAGCCAAGAGGAAAAACCTAGTGTGAAAGAGGCCGTAGAAAATCCAGTGGCCATAGGGGGGTTGGACAATCCAGTGGCCATGGGGACAAAGAGCGCCTGTGGCGGATTTGCTTCGGCAGACTATGTCACGCAAGGAAAACAACTGAACCTAAGTCAAATGTCCTGTTTGCTCACTGTTTTGAGGTACGTTCCCACCAATTGACATGGAACCTGACAGGGGGGGTGCTGGAAGACCATTTTCCATCTAAAGGCACCCCCCCGTCAGGTTCCATGTCAATTGGTGGAAGGGGAATTTTGTTAAGCGCAACCCTCTCGGTTTATTGTTTTTCCGTCGCACCCATTGAGGGCGGTGCCACGCTGCGTTCGAGCATCTCCGGGTTTTGCATTTGCACGAACCACGTGCGCTTGTGAATCTGAGGCTCTAAACCCCAACCAACAGAAGCACTGAAACACACACACACACACACCCACACACACACACACACCCACACACCACCCGCACGGACACACAAAGAGACAGACACAGAGAGAGACAAACACACAGACACACGGACACACGGAGAGACCCGCGGAAAGACACCCAGAGACAGACACGGAGAGAGAGAGAGAGAGAGAGGGAGAGAGAGACAGACACACAGACACAGAGACACACAAACACACGGAGAAAGCCACACAGAGAGACAGACACAGAGAGAGAGAGAGAGAGAGACACGCAGAGAGACACGCAGAAAGACATACAAAGAGACAGACAGACACCGAGAGAGAGAGAGACACACACACACACACAGACACACAGACACAAAGACACACAGACACTCAGACACTCAGCCACACTGCCACACAGACACAGAGAGAGAAAGAGAGAAAGACACAGAGAGACAAACACACACACACACAGAAACAGGCAGAGAGGCGGACACAGAGTCACACGCGATAGGATTTAGAAGACATGCCTGGTAATATCATTGTCAGCTGTCTCTGCCCCGCCTTGTAGGCTTGTGCCACGCGCTTGAACTTAGATTCCTGTGCATGTCACTAAACCCTGTCTCCAAACGAAGGTTCAAAGAATATACAACAGCCCAGTGCAAGACGTACACGATTGATGATGCTTCAAGATGATGATATATTTCATGATGGCACAATGCTTCATGATGGCAATATGTTTCATGATGATGGCGGTAGTGATGATGATGCTGATGGTACCATTTTTCATGATGACCATGATGATGATGATGATGATGATGATGATGATGATGATGATGATGATGATGATGATGATGATGATGATGATGATGATGATGATGATGATGATGATGATGATGATGATGATGATGCGGATGATGATGATGATGATGATGATGATGATGATGATGATGATCATGATGATGATGATGCGGGTGATGATGGTGGTGCTGATGGTGGAGATACCTGCCTGCTCATACTTGCCTACACATTTGTGACAAGCACAGCAATAAAAAGTGCAGCTCAGTGGCCGCAACATCTTTGTCTTGCGGGTTTTTGTCAGGATGCCATCGAAGTGCTGCTCTCAAATAAGCCTTGGTTGATGTGGCTTGCGGCTTGCGGCTTGACGGAAGTTTGTTCCACAAAGCCGAAGGATTATACGGGCTTGCCTCTGAAGGATTCGGGCCACCCTCGAAGAAATAGTTCGTTTCCCTTTGCTTTGGTTTCCCTTTGTCTGGGTGAATTATCATATTTCACAAACCTGAAATAAGGTGGTTGGGGGGCTATTCCCCACATAAACCACAATTTGGGGTGAGGTCGTGTGAGGTCGCTATAATTCACCCAGCTTTATGTTATCCGCAAATAACCTCAAACACAAATACTAGAGGCCAATGTGAAGGCCAATTCCAACTCCGCCATGAAACGTTTTAGTTGCCAGTGGCAAGTTGCCAGTTCCTATGACTTCCATTTGCTGGACAAAAATAAACATTTGCAGTAGCGATCGATTCCCTGTAAAACCAACAAGGGATACAAAAAACAACAACTTCAGCAAATGGAAGATGAAACCAACTGTAAATTACTGGTTCCCATCCAACCATAACGACTTCGTAACTTGTAAAGTGGGTTCCCTCGGGCACTGAAAGTTGCAACCTCCAAACAGCATGCTTCTCCTCTTGTAGGGCACTCCTTTTTATCTCGCAAGTTGCAACCTGAAAGCTTGAACGACCTCCAAATCCCCTCAGGGATTTCAGGTTCAAAATATGGCAGCCTGCGATACTCTGTCAAAACAAGGCCCAACCTGCTGACAGCCCTTCTTCCCCACCCATTTTGTTCACTGCGGTCGAGCGACTTTCCGAACTTCTTCGAAGGACGCATCCTGAGGCGACCCCTGATTCTTGGAACCAATTTTTCACCCACAAACATATCAATCAACAAATGGAAAACCCGGGCTGACCTTGCCAATGCCCAAGATCTCATAGAAGGTGCCAACCTTCTCGCTCATGTCCGTGGCTCATGCCCTTCGGAACTGCGCATGATTGTTCTGGGATGTTCTGGGCCACGCCGAAACTTTGAGAGAACCCCTCAAAATATGTGCACTGGTAGAATGTTTGAGTTCGAACAGCCAGAACAAACTGCATTGTTGCTTACAATTTCAGTTCTCTGCTCGTCTGCTCAACACCCTAGCACAAATATTAGCAACCCTTGGCATGATCATGGGAAGCTGATGCTAGTAATCATTCAGCCCTCATATTTCTTTGCTGAATCTGGCTGCGCGTGTTCGAGCCACAATATGGTGTCGCAGTCGGGTCAACTGGCCGGAATGAGCTCCCTCCCAAGCACAACTGTACCTAGGAGCTTGAGAAGCTGGCAAGACCCTACTAAAAGGGGCATTGTACTTAGTAAGTGGTTTAGCCCGCCTGGTGGAATAACCCACAAAAGCCATGGTTGCAAGTCTCCCTCAGTGGGTCATTTCACCAGGCTTACTAACCACTTATCGGACGTACCGAATCGATCGCCCCTTTAAGCAGAGTGTGCTTTTCTTGAGGTGGGACCCCTCAAAACATTGGATGGTTTTGTTGTTGGCTTTCTTTTGCAAGACTGCAAGACCCCAAGCATCCACCCAAAATGGAGGCTTGGCCAATCCTAATCCATAATCTCTGTGGGGAAGCCGCTGCAAAAGGGACTTCCGGAAGCAAAGGCAAGGATTGAGGATTACCTTTGAACAGCCCAGGCAGAAAGCAAAAAACCGCCCACGCCTAGGATTCGCTATTCAAGCAGCCTTTGTGATGGGTCAGATTCCATACTTGGTGAGGTTGCTCCAATTTGCACAAATTATTGGCCTGTACGTAGGCCAGTGTGTAAATGGGTGGACTCGGACGTAGCTTGACGCCTCTTTGGCTTCTGCCCGGCTTGCTCGCGCGTGGAGGAGCCTGCCATTTCGCAAGTTCCCTGGCCATGGGCTATCCCATGTTAAAAATATGGGGGCTTTCAACTATGTTGAGGGACAAACACATGGCTCTAGGGGTTGATTCCCCATTCTTTTCAACCATCGCGCTTTTTGAAAAACCAGATCTGTTTTCCCAGAATATTTGGTGGTTTTCCAGAAAAGAAAGATCCCTGGAAAGAATGGAAATGGAAGCAACCCTTAGAATGGCTACAGGCTTCCCAAGGCGGACCCTCTGTCAGGTGCCATGGCAACGTGGGAGGGAGGCTATCCGCTTTTAAACCATAGGTGTTGTGTCAAAATTGAGGGCCCTCTTTGGTATCCCCTTGAAAGAAAGGCGATGTGACAAGGTCGGCCTACAGGCTGTATCAAGCCACTCTTGAGGCATCCATGACTGACTCAGCCAACCGCAAAAACTACAAGTGGTAACGCCACGCTTCACCCAAAACCACCCATTCTTCGAGGGTTCCAGTTTATCGGAGAACTAGGGGGCTTGTCCACTTAAATTATCCCAGTTGCAGTTGAGTTTCTTGAAGTCAGTCATTTGCATTGCTCGTTCTCTGTTCGAACCAATTGCAAGTCTCAAGGCTACCCTTCGGACCTTTGCGCCGTTTGAACACATCCAGCATGCCTTGGTTTATGTAAGGGAGTCATTGGAGTTAAGCCTACTTTGAGGGGCAAGCGACAAAAGCGGAACCCATGTTGGAGCATGGTTGCCTTCCCGTGATGTCAATCCAACCAGGACTGCTTCGTCGCAAAGGGGAATCCGCGGCAACCTAAACACAGCATGTTACCCTTTCAAGCGGATTGCCTTGGTATCGCAGAGCCTAACATACTCCCCTTTGAACAAACAATGTGTTTCCCCTTTCATGGGGATGGATGGCTCTTAGACAATGGTGACCTGAAAGCAACATGTTCCCCCAATTGAAGGGGATTCTTGTGGACACTAGGTGGCCACCTTTGTATCATGGTTCAGCCACTTATTCCTGAGACTGGCCGGGTGTCTGTGTTTGATGGTACCCTGTTTGGGGTTGGTCAAAGGGAAACCAAAGGAAAACCAAAAAATGGTGGGGGGCCCCCTGAAAAAAGGAGCCCCCAGCCATGCTTTCTGCCATTTTTCCACCCCGACCCCAGCTTGTGCTTGGAAGTCGGACCGCGAGGCCTTCTCTTCGTGCACCAACCGCAGGGGGCGCAGCACATCGCCTGAAAGGTCCAAGGAAGACAACCCTTCTTTGAATAGACCCCCCCCAGCCCACAGGACACAAGTTTTGGCTTAACGGAAACCTTGAAACATGCTGCCCCAAAACGGGGAGAGAGACCAACCCATGTGGGGGGGTTCTTCTTCCTTTTCTTGGGAGAGCGGGAGGCGGAAAAAGTCGCCAGAGTCCATAGAGCTGAATGGCCGATGGCTTCGACGCCACCCCATCCCATCCAGATCGGGCTGAAGCAATCTTCCGCTCGTATTAGAGATGCGGTGTTTTGATTTCCACCCGTTTTGGAGACTCGTCTTGTTCCAGCGCCTACTTTTGGAGTGTGGCTGAGACAAAGCCACTGAGTCCCGTCCACGAACATGGAACCTTTCAAAACCCAGTCAGGTTCCATGTTAGTCTGTCGCAAACTTAACACATTATGGCCCAAAGGCTTACAATTTAGCTGAACCACCGAGTCCCCGAATAGGGCCGACGCTGAAAACCTGCCGCGGTCATCTTGGGCATGCGCGTAGCGATTATTCAGTAAGTTTTTTTTTGGCAGGCGGGGGGTATGATTATCCATCCCCTGTGGCCCTTAAACACTTGCCGCTTTCTGAGGAGCAGAAACTCAAGAATTTGGTCCTAAACCCACCCCTCAAGGCCCTTAGACACCGTGCACTCTGTGATCTCTACGCGGGTATGTTTCGCCTAGGTTTCCTCAAGGACAGAACCACCAAACAAAGCCATTGTTCTGGCCTTTTTCCTTGGAAGCTACGGCCCATACCCATAGATCTATGGGTTTGGGAAGCTATGGTCCCTATGAGTTTTGGAAGCCTTGGTCCATTTTGGAGCCTTGATTGCTGTTGACACCCCTGCAAAAAGTTGAACTTTTTCGGGGTTTAGTGGGAAACCCAACTTGATTTCCCAAAAAGTTAAAGTCTAAAGATCCAACCCAATAGCAGTCAAGGAGCAAAAGCCGCAGTGGCTTTTTCAGCCAAAACCCGTGCCTCGTGCTGCCGTGCAGAAGGAGAAGCAGGCGGCGCGATTCACCACGCCGGTCCTGGAGGTCGGCCGGATCGGGTTCCCTGCCGGAACCGCAAATTCACATTGCAAAAGGGACCACCAAAAAAGGTCCCTCCAAGGCGAGTTTTGTGAGTTCCATGTTAACTTCCTATTGCTTTTATACTTGGTTATTTTGGGGGAGGTGCTGGTCTTCCCCATGGGGAAGTTGGATTGTAATAGGAATTCCGGTCGCCCCTTCTCCCATATTTTGAGGGGGAGGGGGGGTGGGATGGACAGGGTTGTTGAGTGGGGGCCCTTTCATCTCCAATCAGGAGTAACACTGGCTTCGAACACGATGCCCAGCTCATGAAAACGAGAAACGTGCGAGAAACGTGGCGCTCAAGCTCCTCAAAAGGGTCCTAAGCTGACCCTGCTCCCAATTCCGGGGAATTGGGCCGAAAAATCAAAGGTCGATCTGTGGTTCTGGGCGTGGCCACATCCGGCGAAGACTCTGAGGCCATGTCCAGCCTATTTGCGATAGAGTTAGACCGCAGAATGGCGTGATCCCACTTATCTGTGCTCGGCAAACCTCGCATGTCCTCGTCTTGCTGTGTTCCCTTGTGGATTTAAAATAGGTTGGCCAATCCCAAGCCAGAATCTTTGGAAATCACTGGACAGGGCACCCCTTGCAAACGAAGATGTTGTTGCGGACAGAGCCTTTGAAGGGGTCAGCGCATCAATCTGTCCGCGCCAATGGAACGGAGGCAGCCAGCATGTTCAGGAAGTCCAATTTGACAAATGAGCAGCAACCAAGCCCATTGACTTGTGGTTTTAGCAACATAATCATAATGTTTCATATGGGCTTTACTGCCCGAATCAATCAAACCAAGTGCTACCTCGACAAAAAAAAAAAAAACATTGGGGGGGGGGGGGGCGGGGGTTGGGCAGGCGTTCACCACGGTGTACTTACCCAGCACAATTTAAGTTGGAAACACTTTGAAATGTTAACATAAGCCACTGCGATGATGATCTGATAGCGCAAACGCATTCGGACCTTCACCAAAGTTCCTTCAAAAACCCAAGTTTGAGGGGCATGAAAAACCACCCCAGGATCGGCAAGCAACTCTTTGCTTATGTGTCAAAACAGGGGGACTCCCAACATGGCTTCCGTTGTCATCCGACCCAAAACGGGCACCCTCCAAATTTGGATCATGAGTCCGGAACCAGTCCCTCGCCTATCCCTCAGCTTCGCAAAGTGCATCTGCGGATCGCGGAGCAGCCTGAAGCCCGCAGCCTGCGCCGGGGGGGGGGCATGCTACAAACATCGGTGACTTTTGGGGAAATATCCATGGCCCGAAATTGAATGAAACCAATCTAGACCAGTGCAATCTACTTCTAACCAAACTAAAAAACAAAACCTATGGTTACGCACTGAAGGCGTATCCTCCGCCACAGGCATGGACATGCTTTGCTGCTTCAAGGAAAGCATTCAAGGCCGGGAGGCTACGTGAGGAATATGAGAAGCGGCTGGCGGCTGTCCACCAAAGGGTCCCAATTACAATTCAATCCCACCTGCCTGCCTGCCTCCACACTGGAGATCCAGCATGGGCGGCGTGAGCTGCTCTCGTATCTGTGCACGAATGGGTTTTTTTGTCAAATGAGCAGAAGGAAAGGCGGCCATGTTTTGACACACACACACACACACGCACCCGAATAATACGGATGTGCCTTGCTTCGAGGGTATCCTTGTTTTTGTATTTTTCACAGGAACACCAAGAGGAAAAACAAAAACACAGCCATAGTTTGCCTTGGAGCAGTGTTTCACCTCGCCATGTACTCTGCAACGCTAGCAGGGAATAGTCTAAGGCCCAATCGGATGAAGATGAGGGCCGGTACTTTCATGGGATCTAACCTCCTCCTCCCCTAACCCCCCTAATTTTCACGCTCTATTTTCCCAGCCGAGGCTGTCAGTTGTAGAAAAAGGAAACCCTGTGGAGATTTACACACACACAAACCCAAAAAGAGCTCGTGCACACACGCGCAAAAAAAACAAAACAAGATTGGGTACGTAGACCTTTTCTGGCAGCCAGATCCTTGGACAGATGCGGGCTTCTCACTTGTACTGCAATTCTGATCTTAGAGCCGGAGCTGCCAAAATGCTTGGTCAGTTTGGACATGAACCATGGCTGCAATAACACTATCTGATATCAACATTAACTCACCTTTCCATCAAACCATCCATGGGTCAGCATCCATGGGTCATGCTTACAGGGGCATTGTACGTCAGCTAAGTGGTTAGTAAGCCTGGTCAAATAACCCACAAAAGCCATGGGTATAACTCTCTGTTCAGTGGGTAATTTCACCAGGCCAGGAATACTAACCGCTTACCTCACGTACCGAATCGATCCCCCCTCACAGCCGGCGCTCTCTCCTCGCCTGCCGATGGCCGGCACCTGAGCTGCCATGCCGAGAAAGGTTCTGGATACGTAGGACATGTTGAGTCTGTCTTTTGAGGCTCGGCGCCCTTTTTGGGTTGGGTTAAAAGGACACAAGGAACACCAGCAGTTGGAGGGTCCGGGACCCGACTTTCGCATACTCCCATTGCGTTCTCACCAAACGCGAGGGAGGCCAAGTCGATGTGGTGGCTAAAGGCTGCAGAGTGCATGTTGGCCATGCCCCTGCAACCTGACGTGGAACCCCGACAAGAGTTGCTTGTAGAGAAATCGCCGGCGGTGACTCCCTCTTTGTGGTTCCATCTTAATCAGCAGTGGAGTTGCATGCGTTTCCTCTCTGGCTACTTGCTTGAAATCCGATTGACACGCTGCCCTGCTCAAGCTGGACAGCTTTCAATAGCGTCTCAAAGCAATGAACTCGAAGAGTGCCTCCTATGTCCCGGGTGGTATCCTCAGTTGCCCAAAGGACTCAGAACTAAAAGGTTAACCTTTTGGGGCGATGACTAAAAGGGAAAACACAAGGTCAAAAAGTCAGCTTTGAACAACTGACTGAGTATCTAAGCTAGCCAAGGCAATGAGGATGCGAAGAGGTGGCCCTGACTGTGCTCGTATGTATCCCAACTCTCTTACACACAAATTACTAGGCGTGGCCAATCTTAAGAACTCAGCTCGAGACCGCGTTAAACATGGGCAAAGACGTGAGACCAACACATTTGAGTAAACAACATTAGAGGGGAGCTGCGCATTGCACAAACTAGCTGCTCTGGGGCTCTTATCTGGGAGGTACCCATTTCCGAGCTGCCAGTCAAGACGCGGTGTCAGCGATGATGAGCAACCCGTTGTTGTTTGCAGGCAACAGCTTGCGCACCTCCGATTTCGGGAATGCTACGACATCCAGCATCTTTCCCCTTAACACGTTGCCGAGAGAAAAACCCGCCGAATTTGCCTTGCCTAGAAGCACACCAAAAGAGGGGTGTATATGGGTAAACATGTATATATATATATCTATATAGATACATAATATATTTATATATTGTACTGTCCTCCGCCCTCCTTCCCCCTCCCCCGCCCCACTTTAGCCCGCACTCTGCGCACTTTGGGTGGGTCGACCCTCAACAGCTCGAGTTTGTTTAACGATTGTCACTCCGCTCAGAGAGCCAGCTTTCAATTGGTGTCCGTTCTAAACTTGATTTGATGAGCAAGCCCCCCAACTAAGACCAAACCAAACAAGCACTAACACCACTCCACAGGGCGGGCACAGTGTTCCCAAAACGCAGCTTAAATCAACCCTTCGAGATTAACCCCAAAACTACCCCTAACCCTAAACTAGCTCCAACCAGCTCCGTTCCACCCGGGGGGGGGGGACTAGGTAATTGACCTGAGTCACTAAGACATTCGCGAACCTGAAATGAGGGCCCCAACAAAGGAGCCTTCAGGGGCGAGTTCGCAAACACCGCGGGTGAGGTCGCGATTCGCTATGCGGTGACAGAACCCCTTCCGCAAACATTTCTCTCTCAAAACTTCGGTCCCCAGCTGCTGAGCTTTGAAAACAGCTATATAGAAGCATTTCTTGGAAAGTTGGCCAACCTGCACCTCTGATTTGCAACAAAACCGTCGGCAAGGAGCTCAAAGGGCGCAACGGTTGGTTGTGATCTAAATTTGCCAACTGGCAAGGGAGCTGCCATCAACAAGGTCCCTAGACCTCTTTAAACAAAACATGAAATTGTTGTACACTCCCTCCCACTAACATAGCACCTCACAGGGTGTTCCTTCAAGAAGAATATGATCTTCCAGGCACCCTCCCATAGACGATACGCTTGTAAACATGTGAAGGATTCCCCTTGCAGGTACGCCAAACTTGTGCCCTGAAGGACCAGCGGGCGATCTTCTGGGAAGGTGGCCATCAGTTTGAACCCTGGGATCGTTTTGGAATGTTCTATGGATTTGGGCTCGATGAATAAGCACCATAATCACAACATGCCCATATGTTGGGAGGCAAAAACTGGCGTAGAAAACGGCAGGCCCTGGTCACAAGTTGGCCATCTTGCAGGTTTAAAAGACCCTTACCAGGGTTCAGGGAGGCTCATTGCTGTACAATTCCAGATTCCCTCGTGTGGGGAAGGCTGTGGGAAAATCTTCTCCGTCCGATCGATGATGGTTGCTTGATTGGTTGCATCTGGCAGCGTTTTCGTAAGTCACGCCTTCGCCACGATGCGTGCACGATTCAAAGGATCCGGCACATACCTGGCCAAGAGCGACACAGCAACACCGCTGCTCGAAAATAAAATGGGGTTCAGCTTTTGCCCGCACAAAAAGAGATATCATGTCTGATTGTGGCCCATATATTTGGTGAGCCTCAAAACGTAAAAACATTTCAAAAGAGACCCTATATTGAAAGACATCGGTGCCATTCTACAGAGGAAAACACACCATGCATGAACTTCCCTTTAAACTCATCACAAAACGGGCTCCTAAAAAACACATTCTGTGCAACATCGCCATCGCCACTTGGCGCTATACCAAAGCGGATTTAGTTTTTGGTCACTGCCCGAAAGTGACAACCAAAGAACCATCGACATCTACAACTCCATCACCTCAAATAGGCTTCTCTTAGCGCAACTGCCTGATAGAGGGGTCGCTGGATTTCCTCATTCAAAAATAGCAACTGACTGATGGTTTCCATTGAAACTGCCACTTTTTGAGGCTCCTGGAGGGATCCCGGTTTTATTGCCTGAAAGGAGACTGCCTTGGCCACTCGCAGAAGAGCCAATTTTATGCCCCAGAGCCACGAGGTTTGTCTACCAGGAAGTATGGTGGTCTATAAGCTACCAAGTACTAGGCTGGAATTAGGACCCCAGCAAACAAATATCTTTTTGGCCTGGTTAGTGGAAAAAAAAGGGAATCCCAAAAAAGCAAAAAACGCAAAAAGGGGAGCCAATTCTGGGGAAGTTTACAGGCAGCACAAGTCATCATGTATGCCGTATGTCTTTTGTCGACGGCACCCTTTCCTGGGTTGATTTCAAGCGGAAACCGAATGGACGCCGTCCATGTAAGTGCTCCGCTATTGTGAGACAATTGAGCTCCATGCTTCCAAGACCCTCCCGAAATACGCGCTTGCCAGGCAGATGCCACTTGTTTCCGCCTTTTCTATGTGACGTTGTTGGACCTTCTGAACGGTTTATGGGCCCCATGGCAGGTTGGGCGCCAAAAGTCTGTGGGTAAGTGGAAAAGCCAACTCGAACGCATTTGGTCACAAGGTCGATTTGCTTTGGCAAGGCGAGTGTTTGACATTGACGGACAAGAAAATGCCCAGGAATCCCACTGGGTGCTTTGTTCATGTTTCTGGGTGGGCGTCTCTCAAATGCAACAAATCCCCATCCTCTTTTGGTTTTCCTTTGGGAAGACTGGCAAATCTGGTTGCTATTTGTATGTATCTTTTGGAGGGTAGTTACCCATTTGGGCTTTGTTTGCAAGCAAACAAAGCAATCTCTGGCTGCTATTTGGATCGTTTTTTTTCTTCTTCTTTTTTTCTTTTTTTTTCTCTGAGGCTAGCTATAATTATCTAGTTCTTGGGGTGTTTGTTAGGGAACCACCAGGGCTGGCTTTCTCTAGTTGCTTTTTGTTTTTTTGGGGAACCACCAGGACAACCCATAGGTGCCACTTTTTTCTCCCATGCGCCACGAGAGGAGCAGCGCCAGCACCGCCACGTCGAAGCCCTCCGCGGAACGCCGAACGCCGAGGCTAGCTCGTTGGAAGTTTGTGTGGACCGACGTGGGTTAACCCCCTCCCCCCAAAAAATAACGCCCCCCGAAAAAAAATTACCCACGTTTTTTTGTGGTTCTTTCAAAATAACCTCCCCCCCCCAAAAAAAAAAAACATAAAAAAAAATAAATAAATAACAATAATAATAATAAATAAATAAATAAATAAAATAAAATAAAAATGGAGTGTGTTCCTGTCGCGGCGCCGAGAACACAATCTCTTAAAAGGCTACACTCGAACACGCAAACCCGTGTGAACCCATGGCCATTTGGGGTCCCTGGGTGGTTGCGGCGAATTGAAGCATGATAGCTGGGGTTCAGAAACGGATATCTGAAGTGGATAGAGGGTTGGATCCGACTGCATCCTCTTAGAAAGGCCCCTTGTCCGGTTATTTGCATGCTTCTCGGAAGGGTACGGAGAGGTAGACTTCGTTTTGGATTAGCCGTTTTCTTGGCCGATGTCCAACGATCCCAGAGGCAGTTTCACGTGCCCAAATTCCAACAGCGCATCACTTCAGGCAAAAAGCGAAAAGAACATCCGCTTTTTGTTGCTGCCCTCCAGTGGTCCTGATACGCAAGGCGAGCGACAATGAAGAGTCGTGTATATATATATATATATATATATGTTTGTACGTGTATATATATATATATATATACATACGTATATATATATATGCATACCCATGCGCAGTTGGAACAGCGCCAGCATCAGGCGCGACAAAGCAAGTGCAAACCTGGAAATGCGGTCAAGTGCTCAAGAAATCTTGGCCCACTTTCTGCGGGTACTCAGAAAAGAATACCTGTTTCATACATGTTGTCTACCCTAAAACTATTAAATCGATTTGGAGGAGACCGCAAAAATGGACGTTGAGGAGTCGCTGGGTGTGCACAACATGACACGTGGTCTTGTTCTGGCCGCTAGTACGTTATAGACGTGCCTCCCGCGATGTATACGGCATACAGCGCAAGGGTATCGCAAAATTGGCACAATGGATGGGTGGTTTCTCTTTGGTCCGTAGACCTCCAAACAAGCGCAAAAAGGTACAGCTCTCAAGATGAAGCTGCAGAAGCCTGATAGCAGCCGCAACCAACCAGGATTTGTCAAAATCCCGTGGCCCTTGGTATCCCTTGTTTGCAGGGCGGAAAGCGACGCCAGGGTCCGTGACACAGAAGCTAGCTGCAATGCCCATGTCATGCTTCCGGCGTGCTCTGGCCTCTGCAGGCAGTTGCCGTAGAAGGCCCTGGCGCGAACCCATTTCTCAAAGATGACAAACCCATATTGATGTGTCCCCAGGACTTCTCCAGCTTCCGAGCGTGAACCATCTCTCAGTGTTTCCGGTGGTGCTATCTTAGCGTCTTCCAATGGCATGGCACTGGCGCAGGGCATTGCCTATTTTTCTCGGAGCATGTTTGAACTCATCCAACTGAAAATGGACCACTCGCAACGGCTACGGGCCCAAGTACGCTAGTTGCTGTGGATTCCCCCTTTTCACAGCCATTCATAAAATTCGGGGTTGATGGAACAACAGTGAAACCCAATTGGTGCTGGGCTGTTCAAAATGCTGGGTTGGCCAATCCTAATCCATAAATCCCTACATAGGAAAATTACTGGAAAGGGACCGCTTATAAGTAACCCAAAAACAAGGATTCGGGATTGCCTTTGAACAACCCAATTTAGGTGTGTCCTTTTGAGTAAGGGGGATTTAGGGCTTCTACTCAATGAATGTGTCCCGCTTTTCTGACGGCGCATTGGACAACTCCGGTTGCAGTTGTTTGCTTGGGGGCATTGAAGTTGGCTTTCCCTTAATAGGGGGCCCTTTTCCGCCTCCTTGACGACCGGCATGCTGCCGCTGGGCCCTGGCCAAAGCAAGCGAAAGGTTGGGTCGGCCAATGTTTGAATTGCGCCTCTGCCGAAAAGATCCGGAAATAGAAGCTTAACCCTTTGGGGCCACCAAACGGTGGACCCAAAAAACGGAGTTGATGGAACCCCGAACCTGCTGAGACAAGCCTTTGGGGATCCATAGGCCCAAAGCTATCCTGTCCCAGAATGCCGAAGAATCTTGGCTATGCAAGCTTATCGCATCTGATTACCCTGATGTGACCCAATCACTCACGTTAAACTGCAAATCTTCACCTCCCCCGGAGATTTTCGATTTCGGACTCACTTGCCCCGCAAGCTGCACCGGGCCTATGCGCAGCTCCAAGCAGTTGCACGATAGCACGCTCTCCTGGCGTGCACGAACATGCTCGGCAAGGACAGGCCAATGTCCCTTGAAGATTGCGTCATGCGACAGGGCCCGCAAACCGAGGCAAAAGGATGTCGGGCGACATGACTGTCAAAGGATAGCCTCGGAGAAACCCTTGTCGGCCAACCACATTGTCACAGGCAAACATCGCTACACTAGGGGAATCACACAACCGCCCCACCGACCTCCGGCCCGCAACTTCTCACAAGAGTTCGGAGAGCAATACGGCAACGGGGGAAACGCCCGCAAGAATTAACGCCTGGTCCCAACTGGCTTGGGCGATTGGTCCCCAACGCCTCCAGTCCAACAAGGGGCATGGATTGCACTCCTTTCACCGCGCTTCAAAAGCCGAAAAGTTCAATCCTTTTTTCCCCCTCGTGCAAAGAAAAGAGAACAGATTGCCGGGAGCAAGGGACCCATGCGCTCCTCGGCTGGAGCCTGGGCAAATCGAAGCTTCGATCCAAAGCGTCCCTTCGCTGGTTTTTTGGGGCGGTTTTTCCCCTCCATTGAGGGCATGATCTTAAGGATGTCTCTTTCATGGACCCAGTGAGTGACCTGATGAGAGGCAACAAAAGCGAGGCCCCGGCAACGAACCCTTGCAAGTCTCAGAGTGGGTCGTTTGTCTGCAAAGGAGCCGTGGAACTTACACATATAAGAGGCGAACACAGATTCAGCCAACAATTGCCCGCACAAGCCAACTCAACCACACACGCCGACACAAACATAAACACAAACACATACAGAGCCAGACGCAGGCACAAACAAAGACACGCACACACAGCACACGCCCACCCACCCACCCACCCAACCAACACAACCCAACCCAACCCAACCCAACCCAACCCAAGCCAACCCAAGCCAACCCAAGCCAACCCAAGCCAACCCAACCCAACCCAACCAACCCAACGAACCCAACGAACCCAACGAACCCAACGAACCCAACGAACCCAACCAACCCAACCAGCCCAACCAACCCAACCAACCCAACTCAACCCAACCAACCCAACGAACCCAACGAACCCAACCAACCCAACCAACCCAACCAGCCCAACCAACCCAACCAACCCAACTCAACCCAAACACACAATCACAAACACACAATCACAAACATAAACACAAACGCAAGCACAAGCACGAGCACGAGGACAAGCACAAGCATAAGCACACACACAAACACACACACACAGACACACACACACAGAGACACAGACACAAAGACAAACAGAGACACAACGAGGCACACACACACACAAAGCACACACACACACATGCAAAGCACACACACATACACACAAACAAACAAACAAACCAACCAAACAAACAAACAAATAAACGAAACACACAAACAAACAAACAAACAAACAAAAAATACAATACGCAACAAAACCAAACCAAAGCAAAGCAAACCAAACCAACCCAACCAACGACACACACAAACACAAACAAACAAACAAACAAACAAACAAACAAACAAACAAACAAACAAACAAACAAACAAACAAACAAACAAACAAACAAACAAACAAACAAACAAACAAACAAACAAACAAACAAATACACAAACAAACAAACAAACAAACAAACAAACAAACAAACAAACAAACAAACACTCACACACACACACAAGCGCACGTACGCACGCATGCGCGAGCCCGCACTCACCCACACACACACACACCAACGCAAACGCCAGCCACCAAAGTACAAGCGAGCCAGTGAGCGAAATAATGATGCACGTCCCCAGCCAAAGCATAGACGCGGGACATAAAAACAATATGTGATCATGTATGATATCTATACATATGTGTATATATATATATGTATGAACATATGTATATATATATATATGTATCTAAATATATACAGAGAGATATAGAGGTATGAACATAGCATGCAAATCTCAGTTGCCGAACACACCCAGACATGACACGCTCAGCTCAAAAAGGTCGGCCTCGGCCTCGGGAGGAAAAACTCGCTGAGGGCTCCGCCAAGTCGAGGGCCGTGACCTCGAACTCGCTGCGGCCTAGGAACCCACCCCCCACCCCACCCCCCACCCCCAAAACCCAGGGTTTGAACCTGGAGGCACCATATATATATATATTCCAATAGTGAAATCGATTCCCTTCAAAGACCAAGGAAACAAAGCAAATATGTTCAACAGTGATAGATTCCCTTTAAAACCACAAAGGGAACATAAAACAATATAATAAGGGCAAATGGAAGGCAACAGGGCCCCTTAATCCCAGTAGCTTTTTTCGGAGGCGCGCCCTCTGTGGGCGGCAACACGGTGTGAATCCGAAGTGGCAAAACACACATCTACACTATTGACGGTTGTGTACTCAAAGGAGAGGGAAACACAGTTTTGTCAACAACGGGGGAACCCGGGACCTTAAAAGGAACGAACCCCTCCGTGACTGCGACCTCTCCCTTAACCTTGGGGCTAGCGCGGTGCAACGCGCTGTTTTCAGCACTTGAGCCAAAGCAGTGATTGGATCATGCTTTGGCAATGACTTGAATGTACAACATGCAACTGACTACATGAGAACCTACCTCATGTACCTCTGGGCCATAAATGTCATCGTGATAATTGACTCCCCCCTCATTGACGGCACTGAGGGAGTGTCTTGGGCGCATTACCACGCCAACTTGAAGTCAAGTTTACATCACAACGACTGACACAAGTTATTCAAGCATCACCCAGGCACTTTGCACACTTTTGGAAATTTGCGGACATGCTGCAGCGCACTAGGCAGCTGCTTTAGCGGCTCTACTTTCACGAACGTCTTCAAGCTTCTCTGGAAGGTCAACACGAATGCCGAGCAACCGGATGGCATGGTCCCACTTGTTGGGTGGAAGTGCTTTCGTGAAGATGTCCGCTGACTGCATGTCGGTTTGGACGTATTCTATCGAGATGTGTTCGCTTTCAAGCTGCTCTGCGATGCACGCGAGGTTCACCTTGTGCGTTCGCTGGACACAGCGTAGCTTGGATGAGAAACCTTTCCTTGCTACGAGGATAGTCGCCTGATTGTCCTCGTGGATCTTGAGATGGAATGGTCGGTCCAAGATCAGCTCCCACAAGCTAAGCGCAGGGAGCGCCTCCTGATAAAGGGAGTATGCGAGAGATACAATCTCCGCCTCGGTCGTTGATCGGGAGACCGATGTCTGCCTTTTGGACACCCACGCAAGCGGAAAATGCGTGTGCGGACCACTCAAAATCAAGAATCCTCCGGACGTGGATTTTGCATCTCGCTCTCCAGCGAAATCGGCGTCCACATAAAGAGACAGATGCAAATCCTCAGTCGAATCTTGAACTGTGCCTACTAGCGTGCTGTTGACCGTGCTGTTTATGTAGCAAACAAGCCTATGTAGCTGCTTATCGCAGTTTCTAGACCATTTTTGAACAAATGAGGCAAGGTCGCCAATGGGCTTGACCAGGTCTGGGCGTGCCAAACGGCCGAGCCATAAGGCTTTCATCAACACGCGGCAAGCGGCGAAGCCGAGCTCACCCTCCAAGGCGTCATCTGCAGGATCGAGGGATCCAGCGGGACAGAATGGAGTGGTGGCATCACGCAACTTTTCACTTTTTAGCTGTGCAACCTCAAGATATAATGCCACCGTTTGACGGGCATAATCCCGCATGTCGAACGCCATGCCCCCTTTCAATCTGCCCATTGCGGCATTAAGATCGGGTTCAGTTGGGTCCTTTGGAGCATCTATCAAAAGGTGATTCCTGCCTAGCACCCGATATATGTCTTCTGGGGGTTCTATATCAACCAGTCTTGTTAACTTTTCCCAGAAGTCTTTATGAAGGTGGCTGGGGCCGGCCAACGTCAAGTCGTCGACGTATGTCGAGAGAAGTAACCCGGACTCCTTGAACCAGAAGTTTCCAGGAAACTCTGCGACCTCACGCCCTCCAAGTTCACTAATGAACCCTTTGAGGTGTGCCTCCCAGAGTCCGCCAGCGTCAGGATGCCCATAAAGAGCTTTAACGAGCAAAACCACAGGTTTCACGAAACGCTCGCGCCACCACCTTGGCCGGAGCTCAGGCGGGAGTGTGATCCAAGTTTGGTACTTGGACTTCAGCAGTGCTTGCACATAAGCCTTTATAGCGTCCGCTGTTGTGGTGGAATTCCCTGGCAGGGATCCATAAGCGAGACAGTTATTAAGACCTTGTACGCTCGTGGGATTTGCTCCCAACTCTTGGTAGACAGCTGCTGCGCCATGTTCGTCTTTCGCACAGTCTCCGCGATACACAATCCTACCTTTCATCTTCTGAAGGTGTTTCGCGAGTTCGGCGAACTTGACGGATGCTAGCGACATCAACTGCCCGAAATGGACTTTTATACTGGATCGTCGCGCCTCAGCAGCGACTTGATCATACTCTCGGACTGAATTTAGATCCCAAGCACCGGCTTTCTCCAGGCCTGTGGCTTCAAGTCGAACGGCTTCAAGAGCTTCCGGGGAAGCCAACATTTCGGCACGTGACAAGAGTCTGGTCACCATTGCGGTGATCTCAGGATCCTTCTTCTCTTTGACTTGTCCTAGGGAATGTGCGATGAGATTTTCAACATCAAGAACTTGCTCAAGAATGTTGTGACACTTTTCATCGGACTCAACAGCAACACCTATATCTTCCAAACCAGAGAGAGGGGATATGTGCTTCAACTGCTGTTCACGTTCCCGGTGATCGAGAGGCAATGGCACTTGGACAGGCATCGCAGGCACAACGGGTTGAACTGTCGGATACAGCGCACGGGCAACTGTGAGACACATGCCTTCGGGGTAGAAAGCGGTCTTTGCGGTCTTGTTACCTGCTGCAAGCGAATGCTTATACCCTTTTTCGTGCGGACACTTGAATGCACCTAGTGCGGAGGCGAGTGTGCTATTGCTGGTCATGACTTTCCATGGCTTTTTGATGGGATAGCCATTGCTGTCCTTCAGGCCTAGGGCGCAACCATGGAAGGTCGCTGGGGTGAAGACGTGTGCATATTCTCTAAAGAATGCAGAAACATCATCCCTAGCCCAGCTGTCGCAATCCCTTGGCCACTCAAACGAAACACTACCCCCCTGATGGAGGACAGTCTCTGCGTGACGTCTGAATCTGGAGAACAACTCTCTTGACTCTCTAACCTTTTGCTTCAGTTTCTTTTTGAACTGGCTTCCTAACTTGGCCTTATTAAGGCGTTGCCATGCTGAACCTGATGTACAGGGAATTGCGCCCAGAGATTGGGTTTATCACAACCTTCAATCTGCGACTGCAACTGGATTTCTCCTTCATCTGTGCTGAGGTCGATAAACTCTTTAGCCAGCCTAACATGAGGTATGCCAAGACCTTCAAACACGCGACCCATGTTGGACTCTGGTGAACATGCGTATTCGAACATCACAGGCAACTTGTCAATGCGTGCCTGTCGCTTGCGGGCACGGTGATTTCCAACCTCAAACTGCTTGCGCTGTGGAGCTTCAACCTCTGCGCTGCACGGCATGCCAAAAATTGGCAATGTGTTCGGACGACCGTTCTTTGACGCTTCGGTGAGAGGTGTCGGCGGTACGGAGTCTAACATCACGGCTGCACCTGTGGTGATAACGCAATCGGACTGAATGGGTTTTAACTTGAACACTGTGAACCCGGTCCATGCCTCTCCAAGTGAGCGATTGGGTCGGCTACCAAACCAACCATCGTGGATGTTGTCTGCTTTGCCCCCCTGAAACACGGCACGAGTGGTGCGAGCTGCAGTAAATCTTTCTGGGGAAACGGGGCAATCCTCGACCTCTTTTGGGGTAAAAAGATTCTGCCTTGGCATGATATGGTATCGAACCAAACAGTTGGCATTTTCTTTGAACACCCAAAAATCTTCACCTTGCGATGTAGCGGCTGTCGCTGGCGCGGTATCGAAAAATGAGCCACCGGGTCTTGAGGGAGCGGGCTCCCCAGCTTCGGCTGCATCAAATTCATGCGCAACGTCTTCTGCACTAACTGCGGGCTTAGGATCCTCTCCATGCTCGGATGCGTGGATTGCTCTAGCTAGCTCCTCATCCCCTTCAGTATGAACAATGGGAATGGGTTCCTTAGATTCAGTTTTGGCAGCGCTTTTTGCAGCTGCTTCAGCTCGATCTGCAGAAACAAGTTCGGAGAACCTCTTCTTGCATTCGGCACTGTGAATCTTGGAATGACCGGTGCATGCACGGCAACCTGGCGTTTCCTTGAACTTGATGATCCTCTCAACAGTTATGTACACGGATTTTGACTTGACAGCGGATGGAGTCGGTGGGGCACCAAAGGGCGCCTCTCGCAGGGGCATAGGTGGGGGATCAGACCCTTCTGTCTTGCCACCATGCAATGCTCTATCTGCTGCTGCTGCAATCGGAAAGCTTGGGGGTCCGTCTTCAACGAACAATTCCGGTTCGGGAACATCGTGAACGGAAATGGAACCATCTTTGCGGAAGGCTTCATAGTCCATGACTTTGACCACATTACGGTACCGCAACCCCGGATCGACCCTCCAACCCAAAAAGAGCGCAGGCGCCATGTTCGGATCGAGAGTGAGCTTGCCAGGAGTCTTGGTTCTGTACCAAACCAATTGCCCGAAACAGCATCTCTTACCTTGGAACTTTTCCTTGGTGAGGGCTTCCCATTGGGTTTTCCCTGGGCTGAATGGTGCAGGCCTGTCGAACGACATGGAGAGACATGCAAATGGGTAACTAAACGTATGCAACGAATAGGGCAACCCTGATTGCATGTGGATGCTGCGGCAGCATTCCTTCTCTTCGCGAATGTCGCGCTCCAGAACGGTGTTGTGTGGCCACCTGTTCGGTAAGCTTGTCTCGGGGACGAGACCGACTTCGTGGGCCGCTCCTTCGAGCTCTCCTGCTGCATCCATTTTCACTAGACACGTTGGCGGCGAATCAGTGGCCCGAAGGCCCATGAACTGACGGAAGTTTTTGACATGCGCTTGCGTGTCCCGCCTACTCACAGGGTAGGCAAGTCGAACGCCTGAGAAAACATCACGTACTACATGGTGA